GTGCTGGTGTCAGTCATCATACAGATGCACAGTTCTCTGCCCGTTGTGTTTGTTTGTATGTTGATTGTGTCTCCCTGATTTTCCTCTGCTCTGTGTTTGTTTGCATCCGCTCTCCTGGATGTTTTGTACACGGAGCGAGCTCTGCAAGGGGAAGTGTTGCAGCGCGGGAGGCAGCCGCACCTGAGCTCATCAAGCCAGCGTCAGCTGTGCTGATGACCTTCTTCATGGCCGTCATATTTAGCAGTGCGGCTCAGCTCTGGTCAACACCGGATCGTTGAGTTAACCCTGGTTAGCACGGCCGTGTTTCTGTGTTGCTAAACCTCACCAGTGTGGATACCTTTGCCCACATGTGTGTTTCTTTGTGTCGCCAGGGATCGGAGTCACGGTTTGGGAGCACGGGGAAAGTTGGAGCCACAGTCACTACACTCACACTGTGGGAGTCAGGGGAATCGCCACGGGAGCCACAGTGCTGGAGATCTGTATATATTCCTGGAACGGTGTTTCTCTGTTAATAAATGCAGCCCTGAGTGTTTATAAGGTCGGCTGAGGCTGAAGACGTCACTTAGACGAGTGATGAAACGTTTCTCCCACTGAAAACATCCACAATCAACTTTCAGGGAAAATATTCCCAGAATTTTGAAACCTTCTAAAAACATTAAAAACTGAATGAATGTCATTTTAATATTTGTTAATCCCTACAGATCACCTGCAATTACAACAATTACACAACCACTGATTTTTAGCAGAGCTTCACTGCAGGTGAAGCCCGACAGAGAGAAAGGAGGAGGAATACTGCCACCTACTCTCTGTCTCTCCCACACTCACTCGTATACACTATGTGGTCCGTCACTGTGGGCTTTACCTCCATGTGACTCTGCAGGGTAAAATCAGCTACAGAGAAAACACTGAATGCCCCATAAGATCTAAAAGTCTGTTACAGGCCCCACGAGGACAGAAGAACAGAGAAGCAGAGGCATGTTGCAGTTTGGTTTCCCCATGCTTTAAGCACACTGCTGCAAACTGCATTGTTATGTATTTTAGCACCATGGTAGCATTTACAGGATATTGTTTTATAGTGATATTATACAGGAAAACTGTTGCTCAATAAGGCCCATTTACTAGTTGTTTTTCTCTTTCTCTGTGACCCAAGAATTGATGTGTAAGAATCACAGGCTGGTACCCCAAGGTTGAAAACACCACAGAGACGAGACCACTTCCTTACTCCCATCCTCCCTTTTTCTTTATCTCTTAGAAAAGGCTCGTTAAAGGCCAGGTGGTTTGTTTCAGAATTCACTAATGAAGAACTCTGTATTCTATGTCTAGGAGTCTATTTCGCTGGGATAATCATAAATTGTAGCTGAACTGATAAACTACACAAAGGATACTTCTCTGCTCAGAGGGCAGGAAGACGTTTCCTTATTTGGTCTGTACCGGTTTGAACTGAGAACCTGCTGACACACGAACCTTTTTCCTCTATATAAACTGTTGTATGACAAATAAACTTTGAGTTGGTTTGGGAAGGCAACCTGAAGCAGTCTGTTTCCTTGTTCTCCCAAGCTACTCCCGGCGCTGTAACTAACACGCTGAATGGCATATCTGACTGTTACTTGAGAAAATATCTGACTGTTACTTGAGAATATTCCTTTGAGTTCTATAGGTTATGGACAATCTCTGCTGATAGGTGCCCACGCCTCGGAGGAAACCCGATCCACGGATGACCCGGGACGGAGTTTCTTACATGCATGGCACTTTGTGATGTTCTTAATGGAGCAAGAACACCAAGAGAACACATGCAGGAACAACGAGGTATAGAAACGACAACTTTTTAGTTGACATCTATCAGTTAACGTGACTATCAGTCCATCCATTTTCTTAATGCCATTTTAACTGGGATCGCAGAGGGCTGGAGTCTTGCCCACAAGAGGCTGGGGGAGAGGTTGCCGGTCCACCAAAGGACTAACACAGAGGACATATACGCTTGCATCCATATTCATCCTGCAGCCAATGCGGAACCTAGCACGCACGTCTTTGATCTATGGGAAGAAGCTGGAGTAGCTTGAGGAGAACCCATATGGGGTAACATGCAAACTCCACACAGAGAAGCCAAAGGCAGGTTCAAACCCAGGACTCTGGCTGCAAGGTGTCAGTGCTAGCTGCTACACCACCTGTTTGCAAAGCTAACCAGTAAATGGTA